CAAAAATGTTCTGCGAACAAGGTTTCTATTCCTTTAGAAGCCAAGGTGGCAAATAAGGGCCAAGTCAATTGAAAACTGTTACCAAGACCCCGAAAATAGCTGAAATCATGGTATACCTTCGTAAGAGCGATATACCAAAACGTGGACCCGTATTTATATTTTTTCAAAAATACGTTTTCTGTTTGTTTACTTTTGTACAAATTATTCGACACATAACCCATATGACTGTATAAAATTTAAAAATGTAACGCAAATTTTTGGAAGTTTAGAAAAACAAATATTTCAGACCCTTTGTGTTGGGTTAGGGCTATATATAATGGGCTCTAAAAAGTTTGGCCTGGGAACCCAAAACCCTTTCGAGATTTGGATCTACTAACCGAGTACCATCCACATGGAATTTACCCCCAGATAGGGTGTTGCACAATGCCATTATTAGTGCGCACAGGCCCTCGTATAATGCTACCTGCGATTTAAATATCTTGAACGTATCAGACAATTTTTCGAAGGATATAAATTCTTTTCTCACTAAATTTTCAATCTACAATTTTGTAAAGTGCGCATATTGCAGTTCCTCATTATATTCGCCGTTTTACTGATTGCAGTCCCAATGAAATTGAATTTCGAGTTCTCATTGGGCGTATTACCGCCAAATGAAGGGATTAGATCCACGTTTTGATATGATCCTTATTCAGCTGTGTCGGCCATTTTTTGTTTGTTGGAAAAAATCTAATTTTCTTTAGCGTACAATAAGAAAAAAAAATGTTAAATTAAATAAAGCTTTCAAATTGTGTAAATTTCATAGAATATATAAATTTATGAAAAATTAAAAAATATACATCACAAAAAAATGTTAACTCAAATTTAGTTGGCGCATTTTTATACATTTTTTTGGATTTTATTCTTTTCTGCCAAGAGACAATTCCGAATATGTCTGAATCGTTAAAATCTTGAGTTATAAGCGTAGTAACTAACACAACTTTCTTTTATAGAATATATTTGGAATTTAAAAAGTCCGATTTTCTCACCTGGCATAATTTTCCTCTATCTGTTATATCAAATACATATATAAATGTATACAAAATCAAAATACAATAGTTCGAATAATTTCGTATAACTAATAGATCGAAGGCAACCAAGAATATTCGGTGTATCTCTGGCTCCCATTCACGGCTTCCATCCATTCAAAAAATCGTTTTTTCATACAATCTCCTTAACGGGTTTTTTGCTTCATTGGTGTTATTTGACACAAGCCTTGTAATATTAATGTTGAATGACCGACCTTTGCCTTTGTTATTTCCGATGAAATGTTTACCCACATTTCCAAGTCAGATTGTTTGTACATTTCATCGCTTTTCATAAGCCAAATCCAACAACATGTTTTTTTTTATTCGAAAACTTTTAACCATAACTCTGTCAATAATGATGTCTTAACAAAATCAACTTTTGATTCTGTTTAAAAGAGTTTTAAATGGTTTTTGTGCTTCTCCCCCCACCATTCTTCCGTCCCCACGCCCTCACATACACACCAGTCTTCTTTCGTCGTCTTCACCGAGCTCCTTATGCAATTTAACTTTTTGCTGTTTGCTATTGAAATTTCTTCTAAATCTCCATTAACTGCCGAATTTTGGGTTGATGATGCTGTTACCGTTGATGTTGCTATTTCCATTTACTTTCGTATTCATCCTTAGAGGAAGATTTGCCAAAGAAAAGTTTTTGGCGAAGGCTTTTTAATTGTAAGACAACAGTGGCGCAAGAGCGGTCGGGTGTGGAGGCAGAACTGAAGTCAGTTCCAAGGTAAACTTTAATATTCCAGTGTAAATAGATTTAATGCAACTAAATTGTTGTGCTAAAAGTTTAATTGAATCTTCTCTGTTTCAATGGTTGTTTTGTGTTCCACTCAAATGTTGAGAAAATTACAAAGTTTCACTTCTCATCCATTGTCCTCGGGATCATGGATGAAAAATAATTAACGGCGTAGTTTTTTTCCCTTTTTGCGAATTTCGCTATTTTTCGTTAATTTCAATTATGGATGGAACTTTGATTTTTTTGCTTCCGAGTACGAAATATGACATTAAGTGTTCAACCACATTGGGAAACAAACAGAACTACAAACTAAAACTCAAGTTTGAAACTACACTTAATTCCACACCCAGACACTTCATTTAAATCCATTCGCAAAATACGATCAATTTATTCGGATCGAAATAAGCAAAGTTGTTCTGCCGCCACCATATGTGTCACTCGCAATGACATTCCCAAGAATATTCCAAACATTACTTTTAGTTTAGTTTTACCATAAGCCAAAAATCCACATTGAATTCTTTGGGTTTTGTTCGAAAGGCTTTCTTTGCCGCTTTCCGTCGAGATGAGAGAACATCAAAAGTCACTTAACAACAACACCGAATGTCGTGCACACGGAAGATAAACAAATTGAAATTTATATAGGCAAAACCAACTCAAAGTCTAAAAATAATAAAGTCGACAGCACGAGTAGATGAAGAAGTGCAAGTTGAAGAGGAAGAAGAAGAGGAAGTTTTGAAAACTTTTCCTTAATTGGGGAAAATGTATTTTTGCTCGGCTTTAAATGACATGAGAATTTGAAAATTATTTCGCAAAATTTAACTACATTTTAACAAAAAATATTTGCGATTTTTGCTAGGCTGTTACCAAAGAAAAATTTGACTTACGATCAATGGAACGAAGTATATACTTTCGTTCTGAATAACAGAACTAAATATTTAGATAAACAATTAATATAATCTGGAAATTAAATTTTCTTAACTTTTTTTTATACCCTCCACCCTGGAAGATTATTTGTTATATCGATCCACGATATCGTATAACCCCCATACAACGGTACCCCCGATATTTGGTATTTTGATTATTTTAGCCATTTTTCAAGGGAATTGTCTTCAATTCTACTCAAGAAGTACTTTCTTAACACTTTACACCCTGTAAGATTATTATCCATATCATATAGTCCACATTCAACGGTACCCCACCCCCTATATTCGATATTTTGACGATTTTATGGACATTATTCACCGGAATTGTTTCAAACTTTGTATTTAAAATTCCTACTGTCTGTAACAGGTCCAGGTCTTCGTATAACCTCCATATATCAGGACCTCCGGATATTCGCTATTTGGATGATTTTAGCTACATTATTTACTGGAGTTTTTTATGACAAAAGTTGCCTATACAGGTCCACGTCTTCGTATAGAACCCAATATAATGGCTATATTCGGTATTCGGTATTTTTCAGATTTTAAGAGAATTTTTAATGGATTTTAATTTTTTTTTTTAATTTTCAAATTCGTCCCAAATGGTGGAGGTGGAGTATTAAAAGTTCGACTGGTCGAATTTGCTGCCTTTAAAGTCTATCTTTTTCTATCTATCTTTTTCAGATCTAATACAAAGCAATAAATTGTCGTTCTTTAAATTTCAATTGAAATTCGAGAATTCCATTTGTAATTCGAAACATTTCTACTTTGAAATTTTTATTTGGAATTCGAATCGAAAACGGTACGATAATTAAAATAGCGAAAAATAATTTAATGTCCTAAAATTGGTAAAACCATGGGCCATGCCATGTTAAAAACTAAATTTAAGTCAATTTATAGAATTGGATCAGAGCTTGTGTATGCCCATAATATGGAGACCTCTGCTCTGTTGGATCTTTTTCAATATGTCAACATATGCAAAGAAAGAAATTAGCTATCTATAACTATAAATATAAAATGTCATAACAATTCGTTCTCCGTTAAAAATTTGCGATGACAGAACTATCTTCGTATTATGGCGGAGAGCAAAAAATATATAAAATACATGCCCAGACGCTTGCAATAGTTTCCAAGCCTTTTACAGAATGGTTTTAAGACGGTAAATTAATATTTAAACTTAAATCTCGCATTCTTATTATCTTCACATTCTGTTTATAATTTGTTATTGGCATTGTTTCACTCGCACGTTGCTGTGCATATTTGTTCCATATTCAAAAAATTTCTTCCCGTTCTCATTTTCACAATCAATGTCACAACTACAAAGGCAAGCAAATTTGTTATAACTTACACATGCTTTCATCTGGATCTATGCCCTTTTTAAATACATGGCAATTATGAACTTTAATCGAAAAAGTTTCATTAAATTCCCTCTCTCTCACACACACTCTCCCTCTCTCTCGTTCTGTCATTCGTTTCCCCCATGTCATAGCTTATCACTGATATAGAGTATTACATTTGCAAAATGTCCATAATTAACATGTTTCATATTCATTCGCACATAAAACATAATGTGCATATGTATTCTAGTATACTGGCAGCATTTTGAATAGATTCGATATGGGGGTATTTCATCAACATAGGGGAAACAAATTTTCGCAAGAAACCATTCTTGTTGCATGAGGAGACTGCAATAAATCAAATCGGAGTTTCTTCTCTTCCGATCGATTTTAAAATTTGTCATATTTATTTTATCCACAGTGTGAGAGTTTTTTTGAATGCACGTCTCTTGGTCTGGATGTAGGATGAGCGAAATGCATGCAAATTACAGAGAGGATTTTGTTTTTGTGATAAATTTTAACGATAATGAAAAATCTCGACAAAAAATGCTAATTATAAGATTTATTTTGTACTAACAAACGGAAAAAATGGATTTTGCTGTATTTACCTCCACTCACATATTAAAGCTGTAAGTTAATTTAATGCTAATAAGCAACACACAATAAATGTGCAAGATAAAAAAGTGGTATTTACAGCCTGTTCCACGATCTCGAAAGAAAATTTGTGCGAACGAAGGCTACTCACTCACTTTCGTATAAGAATGCGTTCCACTAACTTTCGTTCTTTCTTTCGCATAGCCTTACGTGATTCAGTGTTGCTAAATATTTTTTTGTAAAAATTAATCGCGAAATAAAGCAAAAAAAGCGTCAAATGTCTAATTTAAACGCGAAAAAGCAGCAGTGGTGCTGTCTCAACTGACATTTCAGTTGTAAACAAACAAATTGTAAATAAACAAACAGAATAAAGATTGTGTTCAAACTATTTGTGCTCTTAGAAAATAAAAAAAAAGAATATTTCCGTAGCCCTATTTTTTATGGAGGAGGTTCGAAATGTGCCACGGAGGCATTTAAGAGATGCTTCGAATTTATTTGAAGTACCTAACAACCAGTAAGTATGATTGTATTTTTACATTTTTGAAATAATAAAAAATGATTTTTTCTAGGTTTGTGGCCAACTTTCGTGTGTCGAAGGAAGTTTTCGGGCTCTTTTGGATATGATGGAAGAGAAGTGGGTGCCCGGTTGCAGAACTACCCAAATCCGCCCGGATTTAAAACTTCTTCTGCTGCTTCCAAAAATTGGCATTCCTCTGGCGAACACAGGATTCTCCTCCATTTACTCAACTAGTGCCCGCAGCTGTGTAGTTGATGATTTTTTCGTGCTGGAATTGAGAAAATAAAAAAAATATATATTTGTTGTTCACATATTAAATTGCATTTATTATTTTTACTTACATTTTTGTTTCCATTTTCAATCAAGCAATGTTTATGTTAAAACAATTTTCCTTAATTGTTATCATTCGACAGCAAACACACAAGTGACTGATTTTGACATTTGTGTTCGCATGCGTACGAAAGAAAAAAGATAGTGGAACGCAAAATTACACTGAAATGCTTACGTTTTCGTTCGCTTTGATTTTCGTGCAAATTTTCGTTCTGATAGATTTTAGTGGAACGGAAATCAGCTGTTTGTCGTGTAAAAGTTGTGCGAACGTGTTCTTTCGATATCGTGGAACTGGCTGTTAAATAATTATTGTGGGAAGACAAATTGTTTTTTTTGTCTGTTCATTGACATAGCTAAAAAATATGCTCTAGTCCAATTGCATATTAAATATTTATTTTGATCTTTACTCATTCGATGCGGGATAATTAAATTGCAGTACGGCTTACATTATTCACAATGTGGAGAGGGTATTACAAATTTCTCAGATGAGAGTAGTTGTTAACGTAACTCAGACAACATGTTTCACAACAACTTCGTTAGTTCCAATTGGTTGGTTGCAATCGCCCTTAAAACTAGAGCTCGATATTCGTTATTTCGGAGGCTTTCATCTCATATTCGTTTTCATCAATATAAAATGATATGCTGACATTGTTCAACGGAATTATTTCATTCTCAAAAAAATATTTGGCTACTTAGGTCCACATTATATAAGCCCCCAATATAGCTATGCTGCGCGATACTCTGTAGCTGAGCAGATGGTTGGCATAAAAACAATATTGCAGTGTTCGCCATTGCTTTATATAATATCCTGGAAACGATATATAAGGCCTGTTTATATCGCTCATATATACCTCATCTCTGGAGAGATGTTACAGTGACTTATATACCTATAGCTGGAAACCCAAGTCACACAACACCGAATAACTAATGTCCAATTAGCCTATCATATTTTCTTTTAAATACGCGTGAAAGGCTTGTAGAACTGGATATATAAGATAATGGAGATGGACCACTCACTGGTGAGTGATTCGCAACACGCTTATATAAGAGGAAAGTCTTTTGAAACAGCTCATCATGAATAAATGGATTATACACGGAAGACTTTTCTTGAAATTGAAGGCTCCAACAATGTGGAACTGATATTCATACATGATACAAGCATAAAAGTCCATGATACCTTAATAAACTGGATTAGTGCATCAGAATCATCAACATTAATATTTTACGGGACTTCGGACGTTGTGATCTTAATTACGGGTAAGTTTCTATTCACTGTATCGGAGCTTTTGTACTTACAAAGCTGTCACGACCCCAAGGACAGGGTTGGTCCTGTCTACTCGTAAGCACAAGTCCACCAGTGCTGGATGGAGTATCCTTAGAACTCTCTTCGGAAGCCAAATATGGAGCAAACACTCCTGCAGGAATTGCATGTGAATGAACTGGTTACTTGATGTGGTGTGGCCCATGCTTTCTTAAGGTAACACGCATTAAATAGCGTGCGGCGAACAGCTTCAATTCTAATCACTGAAGCATCAAAAATTACGCTTCAGGTAGTCTTAAATGTAATTCTAAACATCGTTCCAGTCGAACTTAGTATATGTCAGAGTGGGACATGATGCGCACACAACACAACAGAGCCATGTTAGCGTATTGGGCTTTCTTAACCTTTAACTTCTGAGGTGGTGGTAAATTTTACCACCACGTTATAAAGTATGTCACCTCAGAATTTAAAGGTTAAATCAAAATTTAACTTCAACTCTCATGAAAGAAACAGCATTACATATCTTCAACCATGGGGTTCGACAAGAGCAGAACCAATCTGCCACTAATCGCTCTGCCGGTATACAAGGCCGGACCAAAGATGGAACAAGGCACGGGAGCCGGGGGTCTTGTGCGACTAGGAAAGGACTGCTCCTGCAATTTGGATGGAAAAAGCAGTATTTTTCAAGCAGAGATAATGAAAGCGGCAGAATATGGAGAATGAGATAAGCAGCTGTAAAAGCCATTGAAGATTCAATTCTGATGCAGTTCTGAGGTGTAGAACAGCCCAGGGAGATCCGGGCACTACTTTCCGGCTTTGTTGGGTACCTGGTCATTATATTATTAAAGGAAATGGGCTTGCAATTCACAAGCCTTGCTTATATTTAATCCCCCTTTTGTATACAGCATTAGAACTACTCTCTAAGGACAACGACAACGGCGCAAGGTCTCAAAACTCCACCTTGTCCTGCTCTATAAAAGTAAAAAGTACGAGCTACAGGGGAACATCCAACTCTTGATCTCAGTGGGCATTCAGACACTTTGTCATCTATGATCTCGAAAAAGTTTTTACTGGCTCCAGCGCCAGAGTTAAAACATAAATCATTTCGACGCTTTTCCTCCTTTCTTTGTATTTCTATCAACAAAGATCTATCGACCCCTACCCTTCTAAAATCTACTTTTCCTTCTTATACTCTACATCACATTGTGATCAGGGTATTATGCATTGGTTCATTTGTTTGTAATTTAGAGAAGAAATTAATTATGATCTGCATAGAATCACATTCCGAGTCGTTTGTTTTGGCCCAAGGACGAACCTTATTATACCCTACAACACTATGTGTTGGGGGTATTATAAGTTTGATTGGGCCAGAATTTATGTAACACCTCGAAATATTGGTTTCCCATATAGGAAAGTATATATGGATCTTCCTAGCTCGCTGAGCTGAGTCGATCTAGCTATGTATGTCCGTCCGTCCGTCTGTCCGTCTGTCCGTCTGTCCGTCTGTCCATGTTAATTTGTAATCACTCTACAGGTCGCAATTATGGCCCGATCTTCAAGAAATTTAAAATGTAGGTGGGGTTATTGTCAGAATAGAACCCTATTTCTTTTGGAGATGATCGCCAAATGTTTAGGGGTTGAAATGGACCAAATACTGAAAAAATTTCGGATTTTGCAGTAGCTGTACAGGTCGCAATTATAGACCAATCGACGCGGAATTTCGCATGTAGCTAGAGTTTAGGGCGGGGAAGAAGCCTACCAAATTGGGTGGTCATCGGATTATATTTAGCGGGTAAAATAGACCATATATTTTGTGTTGAAAAAATTCAAAATTTTTCATTAAACCGCGATTATTTTAAATCCCGGCGAAATCGCAAAGCCATGACAAGGTTACTTCTGACCTTTACATTGATGTTAACATCCAACAAATCGTATATATAGCAAAATATGTGCGATATATATGTCTATCAAAGAAGATATGCCTGAAAGATCTCTTATATGTCGAGAACGGCTGAACTGATTTCGACAGTTCTCATTAATTCAGAATGGCCTCTTGGCAGGAAAGAAACAACGTCTAAAAAAATCGCATAAAAATATCTCTCTAAAGATGAAAACATTGATTTTGTAAAATTTTCTCATATTTTTCAATTTTCTCATATTTTTTGGCATATTTTCATTTTGAATTAAACATTTGGTAATATTTCTACAGCTAACAAAACTAAGTAGCTAGGATATCAGGTTATCATATACAGATCGCATTTATGACCCGATCCTTACGAAATTTTGCATGGGGATAAGATGAGGGTCAGAATAGAAGCCTACTCTTTTTGGAGATGATCGCCATATATTTAGGGGTTGAAATGGACCAAAAAACTGCAAAATTGTCTGCAGGTCGTAATTATCGAATGAATGGGGGTTACCGGACATTGCAAAAGCCAAGCAGTTTTGGATGGCTATCCAAAAATATTCAATGTGTGAAATAGTTTGCCAACTTTTGTAGACAAAATACGAAAATGTCCATTACAGTAACTTCTTGGAGAATTCACAAATACAGGAAAGACGCACTTCTGACTATTTCGTTAACGCTTATTTAGTTGAAGAATATAGTCTAATATCTCATATAGATGCGTTTCAGTCAAAAACCAATAATAAATGTTAATCTTTTGCCACTTCTGAGAGATTATGGGTCTTTGGGAAATATTGGTTCCAGATCTAGGAAGTCCATTTACGTGCAACATCTACCATAAATTGGAAATGAGCAAATTAGCTCAAGTTGCTATTATTCGAAAATTAGAGAACGAAACCTGATGGTTTTCTTTTATTATTTGTCACAATATCTTGTGGAATTCATTCGAGTATCTCGCCTATATAAACTGTATGGTTTATTATAGTGTTGTAGGGTATTCAACGGTCGGCCCCGCTCGACTGTAGCCTTTGCTTACTTGTTTAAATTGGAGATAATAATTTAAATATTGCTCCCATATATATCCTCGTCCGGTTTGCCTTTTATTATGCACCACATGTATAATTTTAATCCGAAAAGAATGGAGGAAAGTTAAATTTGATGGACATCGGTTCAAATATAGCTTATATTAATCATCCGATTTGTCTTCCGCTGCCATAATATTCAATTCGTATCAACAATATTCGGGCAAATATATATCAAATAACTTTGACAAATTTTACCGAGATCGGCTTAGATATCGATACAACCCCCATATGTATCTTTATTCAATTTCAAGTTTATCGTGCTCCAAATGATTAATCAAAGCCCGAGTTGAATGGAACCTAGGTATTCCCTGCCTTACCCCCTGGTAAATATTACCATTTTTCTCCGCTAATAAACAAACGTTGCTTTTATAGAAATAACAATAATTTTTTTATAAATACAAAAGCAAAATCTGGAAAAAAAATATTAGCATTAAGAGCGAAGGAACTAACTCACGTAAAACCTCGACCTCATGTAAAATGAAAAGGAAAACATTTGAGAGACGATTGAACTTTGGTAGACAAATAATCTATCTATTGATTACTTTTCGGTGGCGCATTTTAAGCCACTGCATTATCTGTAAAAATATTTTATTTTCATGTTGAAAATAAATCATTCAAAACTTTAAAAATTCCTCATGTAATTTGAATCGAAAAAAATGTTTATGAACAATAGCCTTCATATGTGCAACAGATCGAGGAAAAGTGCCGGTGTATGCAACAGATTTCCTGCGCCCAG